TGCGTGGAAGTGGCCCAACACAGTCCATGATAATTCGCTCAAAAGGTTCTACAACCACAGAAATAGGATGGAGAGGAGCAGGAGGGATAACTTGGTTGGGTTTACCAGTTACCTGACAGGTATGGCAGCTGCGACAATACTGGCGTACATCTGTTTTTAATCCGGGCCAGTAAAAATGTTTCAGAACATTCTGATAAGTTTTTGTTACCCCCAGATGTCCTGCCCAGCTTCCTTCATGTGCCAAGGCCAAAATGTGTTTGCGGTAACTTGATGGAATTACAATTTGGTGTACCACATTCCAGTCAGCATCAGGGAGGACAACAGGGCACCATTTTCTCATCAATACTCCATCATTTACATAAAATGCTACTTGTTCAGCTCTAGCTTTGTCAGCACTTACAACACATGAGAAGCACCTTTTTAGAGCTGGATCCACCTTCTGAGCGGCAGAAAGCTGGGATAGGGAGATGGGAGAAGAACCGAAATCAGCTTGTCGCACATCAGGTTTCAGCTGGGGGACTTCGGGCAACTGTGTTGTAGCTGGTACTTTTTCCTCCTCTGAAAAGATTTACATAAGCACACTGTCAGACAAGTCTACATTTTCTTCTGAGGTTCCCTTAAATTTTTGAACCCTGGTGAGCACACAGGAAGTAGAGACAGTAGTCTGTGTTGCATCGTCGTCCTTAGGACGGGAGCAGGGGACGTCTAATATTTCCAGGGAAGGTGTTACTTTACCACCTGCAATATCATTACCAAGTAAAAGGGAAATACCTTTAACTGGAAGCTCAGAACAAACAGCAATGGGGAAAATACCAGAAATCAGTTCTGATTGTAACTGCACCAAGTGTACAGGCCGGGGGACATAACCCATTTCCAGTCCTTGCAGAACAACACTGTAGCCACAAGATGACAACTCAGAAAACGGTAGGGAATCAGTTAACATAATAGATTGGGAGGCACCCGTGTCACGCAAAATACGAACTGGATGTGGATCTGCAAGTTTTCCTGGTAATGAAACATATCCAGTTAGCAAAAAAGGTTCATAACACGGATCAGGAGTACAGCAAAGTTCAGCCTTTCGTGGTGTAGGAGACTGGTTCCTTATTAGCCCCACACCTTTTGGTTTGGACTGTGTGTTCTGTTCTTTTCGTTTCAAGGCTAAACAATTAGCAATGAGATGACCTGTTTTGTGACAATAGAAACACTCCTTGTCATTCTTTTGAGGAGTTGACTTGGGTGGTTCAACAGCTGATTTTATAGACACACCTCTATTGAGCACGGACTGAAAGGTAGACTTATGTGTAAGCACATACTCATCAGCTAACACAGCAGCAGAAGACAGTGAGTTTACCTTCTGTTCATTCAAGTGAACAACAACACGTTCAGGGAGACAATTTTTGAACTCTTCCAATAGAACAAGTTCTCTCAGAGTGTCAAAATTTGTCACCTTATTTGAAGCACGCCAACGATCAAAGAGACTTCCCTTTTCTCTGGCGAACTCTACATAGGTCTGTGAGGGGCTTTTCTTAAAAGACCTAAATTTTTGCCGGTNAGTACAGCACCAGCTCCAACAGCACTAGCATCCACTTCAAGTTTGAAAGCCTTTGACATGTCTGGAGAGGAAAGCACAGGTGCATGTGACAAAAGAGATTTTATACTTTCAAAAGCATGTTGACACTCAGGAGTCCAGACAAAGTCTACTTTTGGGCTCAGCAGAGTAGTGAGAGGGTGGGCTACCTTCGAAAAATTTCGACAGAGATTTCTGTAATAACTGGCCATGCCAAGGAAACGGCGAAGGGCTTTTCTAGTGCTAGGGACAGGAAACTGAACGATGGTTTTTATTTCGGCTTCTGAAGGGCATACCTGTCCCCGGCCGACTTGCCTACCAAGGTAAGTGACAGTTGCTTTACCAAAGTCACACTTTGCTAAGTTTACAGTAAGTGAAGCGTCAGCAAGCCGTGTGAACACAGCTTTTAAGATTTTTATGTGTTCTTCCCAGGTAGAAGTGTACACAATGAGACCGTCAAGATATGCATTACAGTTTGGTAACCCGGACAGAACAGTGTTAACCAACCGCTGAAAGGTGGCTGGGGCATTACACATGCCAAATGCCATGACTGTATATTGCAAAAACTGATCTGGTGTTACAAATGCAGAGATCTCTGATGCACAGTCAGTTAATGGTACCTGCCAGTATCCTTTTAATAGGTCCAGTTTACTTACAAAATTGGCATTACCAATGGTATCAACACAATCCTCTATACGGGGAAGTGGATACGAATCAATAACAGTAACTGAATTAACTTTTCGGAAATCTGTTATAAAACGAGGAGAGCCATCAGGTTTCATCTCCAAAAGACATGGGGAGCTCCATGGGCTGGAACTATGCTTAGCAAACCCATGTTGTAACATGTAGTCTGTTTCACCGTTCATCAAGATTCTTTTAACTGGGTTTGTTCTGTATGGATGTTGCTTTATTGGCTTGGCCCCAACAACATCAATGTCATGTTTAAGAACTGAAGTTTGTGTTGGCACATCACGGAACAGTTCTGGGTAACTATTGAGCAAGACAATAATATCATTTTTTTGTTCCTCTGTTAAATGTGAAAGCTGGTTAGGTAGGACCTTCAACATTTCAGAGTTTGACAATCGTGAGCTTTGGTAAGAAATGGAACGCAATGTTAAACCATCCTCTACAGCAGAGTCAGAACACTCCCTTACAATCAATGCTGAGGAGCAAGTTGAAGGTAAAGGTTGACCTGTTTGACGGTCAGGATTACCGTTTGGGTCTCGAGAATAGTACGGCTTTAACATATTTATGTGACAGACCCGAGATTTTCTCCTTCTTTCAGGAGTGCTGATTACATAATCTGTCTCACTCAACTTCTCCTGAACCACATAAGGTCCTGAAAACTTGGCAGAAAGAGTAGAACCAGGAACAGG